AGGTAGGTAGGTAGATAGATAGATCGATAGATAGTTAGATAGATAGATAGATGTAACAAGGAGCCCCAAAAAGTATTGGTTAGTTAGATAGATAGATAGATGTAACAAGGAGCCCCAAAAAGTATTGGTAATTATTCAGGCGAGCTTATAGGCTTCTATATCATCTAGTTGGGTACTACCCCCGTACAGTAACATAAGAGTTAACAAGAGGGCGACTATAACCATTATTCAACCGTTAGTTGCTAAGTCCGGGCAAGTCAGTATGGACACTCTACCAGGATACAGTCACGTTCAAGCATCGCTGACTGTCTGCTGTCTGCTAGGGTCTATGCATATGTGTCTTGAAAGGCATCATTTCGCAGACTCTGAGACGTAAACACGAGAGTTGTCGGATTGCTGTTGGTACTGTCAGCAAACTCCTAGTCCAAACACTAGAGCAGTAGATTGCCATTATTCGCGACGGCAGAAGCGCCGCATTGGCAACAGCCGATGAGCGGCTGAAGGTGGTGGTGGTGGTGGTGGTGGTGGCGGTGGCGGTGGCGGTGGCGGTGGCGGCGGTCGTGGTGGGGGGTCGTCGCTGGAGCAGCTTTAGTCGCTGTCTTTGCCTCTAGTGTAGCAGGACTTTGGTCAACAACGGTGCGAGGAGAAGCGGCAGCAGGAGGAGTAGCCGTCGTCGTCGTCCTCCTCCTCCTCGCTTTCGGGACGAAGTAGTAGTGACAGCAGCGGCGGACCAACGGCCACAAGTCACAGCTTTGTCTTGCCTTGCCCAGAAACAGAAGCCGCCAGAATCCCAGTTATGGTAGTCGATGAGGATATTGACTGGGATACTAGCACACACACACACACACACTCCCCACAACCTTAAATTAATGCCCTACAACCCAAACCCTTAACCTTAGAAATAAAAGCAGCCGGACCCTAAAAACAAAACCGAAACGCTGAACCCTAAACCATCCGCTCAACCGCGCCGAGCCTTGTCATCCTTGTCATCCTTGGACTTCTTGTCAGCCTCCTTCCAAATTAGGTAATGCAGGAGCCTTTTGGGGGTGGGGGTCTTGTGTTTTGGGTTTTCGGTTTGAGGATGCGGGGGGGGGCGGAGTGGGGCCGGGGGGTGGCTGTTCTGCTGTACTGAGACTGAAACTTTCGGTTTTGGGCTTCAGGTTCAG